CCGCGCCGGCGCGCGCCGCTTCCTGGTTCCTCCCGGCGCGCGCGCGCGCTGACCCCTCGCGAGCCCTTGCGCCCCTTTGGTCTCCGTCCCTGGGAGAGACCCCGAACCCCCTTCGCGCACCCGGGGTGACGGCGCCCTGGGGTGGGCCGGCGCCGCGCGCAGCCTCTGCGCACAGTGGTTGGGTGGCTTCCCTACTCGGCTCCGCAGTCGGGCCGCGGGACGCGAGCACATGTTGCTTTGTTTGGGTAGGGTCGACCACCACTGGTAAGGCTCGACCAGACTGTGGCTGTGGTGGTGATTGGCCCCCCTCCGCGGCCCGCCCACCTCCCTCCCTGCGGCGGAGGTCGGCGTTCCGGGTCCTCTCTCTCCCCCACCCGAAGTCAGAAGTCCATTGCTGCCCCGATCTATAATTATTCCGGGTTTGTTCCCTGGAGCGCGTCTCAACCAGCGCTCTTGCGTCTTCCCAAGCGGGAATGGGCACCTCCAGAGTTGAAATTCCCCTGGCTGGCTGGATTCCCCCCACTGTTCCAGGGTGGATCTATAGAGGGCATGGGCAGCTGAGGCCATTTCTCTCCCTGGGGACTATGATTAGTTCCCACCAGTCGAAGCTGCAGAAGGGGCTGCTCTGTCCAGAGAAGGAAGAATAAGCAGGATCACTTTTGCAGGATTCAGGAGACCAGGGTCTCTGAGACCCTTTTCCATGTAATAGGGAGGGGGTGTGGTGCATGAGAAGGCAAGCCTGAGTCACCCACTCTCCTCCCCTCTGGCTACATCTCTGGAGCTGGCCAACGGTTTCCCTGGCAACCCTCCAAGGGCCAGCACCAAAGCAAGGCATTTTAGATCCCAGCTGCAGGGGTGGGCAGAAGAAGGATCCCCCTCCAACACACACACCAACATATACACACAGAATGCCCCTTGCCTACAGTCACCTATAGGCCTGCCAACTGCTAAACTTCATGTCCAGAGATGACCAAAATTTGCAGAAACCAAGTTTTCCCATAATCCTTTGGCAACTCTTTCCAGCACCCTTTCCTTCATTTCCAGAATAACAGTAACCACAAAGGTCTTAGCATCTGCAGCTGATCACAAAGTCTTTTTTCCCCACCCAGGCTATAGCTCCTATTCCACACTCCAGTCTAACACCTGACACGTGACCTGGGCTGAGTAGGTGCAGGGAGTGTGAAGGCTGGAGCAGGAGGAAAGACCAGAGCAGGAGGTTGGATGGAGCACCAGCCCTGACCTCTCTGACAACCCCTCTGATGGTCACTGTCCATGCTGTTCTGATGCTCGTTGTGCCACACTTCTCTTTTATGCCTTCTCACCTGTGTACGTGCTGCTCCCTGTGCACAGAATGTCTTCATGCCCTCACTGTCTGCCTGTCTGTGACCCTTGCTTCAGGTAGTGTGAAACTCTACACACCTTCTGCTCTTTATCCTTGCTGTGATAGTTAAGGTTGTATGTCACCTTAGCTGGGCCATGGTTTTGAGTGGCTGGGCAGCTGGATGTAGTTATTCCCCATAATGAGACTGTGTTTTGGATACCCAGTGCAGCTCTCATAGGGATATACCACAAATGGGATGGCTTGAACAAACAGTAGTTTATTCTCTTACAATTTTGGAGGCTTTTAGTCAGAGTTCAAAATGCCAGGTTGTAGGGGCTGGGTGAAAGCCCCTCAACCTATGGCTTTAGCTCTGCCCCCTGTTCCTGGCCCACTGAACCTGGAGGCTTTTCTTCACTCAGCTTCTCGCTGCTGAGGCTGACAAGCCCAAGGTTAACAAGTAAAAAAGTACAGTCCCAATGTTACCAAACAACATGGCAGGCCACTAATTCAAGTCCAAATGAAGTCCCAAGATTGGCAGGGCATGGCAGGCTGCTGAACAAGTTAACAACTACACACAGGGCTCAAGAACGCCGAAAGGCTATAGACCATGCCGAAAGCTGTTTCTTATACACCAGAAGCAGACCACGTCCCTAAAGCAGCTACTCAGCTGCTCACAGTAGATTCCATGGAGTTAATTACCAATTACACCATGGGGAATAGCTACATCCAGCTGCCCAGCCACTCAACCAGGCCCAGCCAAGTTGACATAAAAACTTAACTACCACAGATTGTAATCAACTCCATAGTGGAATCTGCTGTGAGCAGCTAAGTAGTTGTTTTTGTGTGTGGCCTGCTTCCAGTATATAAGGAGAAGCTTTGCAAAAGCTCTCTGGCTTTTTGGCACAACTGGATCCTGCATTTGGCCAAGTCTTCATCTCCAGTTCCTGCACTTAAACCAGTGGCCTGCTGTGTTGCCTACAGATTGTGGGATTGCACCATTTTACCTGCTGACTTTGGGTTCATCAGCCTCAGCAGCCAGCAGCTGCCTGAGTTAGGAGATGCCTTTAGCTCCAGCACACCTGGAATAAGACGCAGAGCTGGAGTCCAATGTCAAGGGGGCTTCACCCAGCCCCTAGAGCTGGCACTCTGAATTTGGACTTCTAGCCTCCAAAACCATGAGAATAAATTCTTGTTTTTAAAAGCCATCCACTGAGATTTAGGAAGATGGCGGACTAGGCACAAGGACTGCACAGACGCTCTTCAACAAAGAAAAGGGAAACCAATTAACACAGACACAGAAGATAATCTTGGACCCCTGAGCCTTGAAGGGAAG